TTACTTTGACATGTAACAATATATGCATGAATACATGTGTCTTTTAAGCTTTAACTTTATTTTGACCATTGAAGGTGACTACCAAAAGGCTTTGATATGTTTTGATTGTATATTATTATATTTAATCATTGGTATCGTCTAATTTCACACACCAAGAAACGACGTAGACGTACAAGCACAATAGAATTCCGCAACAAATGAAAAAGATTATTGACACATATTCCATCACAAGATCTTGCAAGAAGACTATCTCAGATGATATCTCTTGCCATGGCTATGAATTCATAGAATTTTGAATACACCAACGAACTCACTTACAGCCTTAGCATGGCTCTAGATCAGTCAATCGATCTTTTTTCGAAAACGGGGGCATGTTGCAGGATCTATTTTAATTATAAACCTTCTCTAATTAATTTATTTGTTTCCATTTTCGTTGCTCATTATAATTTTTGTCAGGTTCTTTGCAAAGAAGATGTAGAGAGGCATTATATACAAGAGGCGAATTCCCTCCTGTTGTTGTAGCATTTAATTCGTTGGAAGGGTACTTAATTTTTTATTTTGTTTTTTTATTATATGATCAGTTCATGCAATTATATATAGTATATTATAGCCCTAATATCATATATACGTCAATAAAAAAAAGTTCATGTTGAAACTTTAGATTGATTTGAATTGATTGTTGTCACGTGTAAATTTAATCGTAAAAAATAGACGCCGATTACACGTGGCAGAGGTTAGTTGCATGTAGGTATACTGTAGAAGTTGACGGGTCCATAAAGGATATGACTTTGATCGCTGAATACGCGGGCGATTTTGATTACATAAGAAATCGGGAGGAAGATGACTGTGACAGTATGATGACTCTCCTTTCTTCAGCCAACCCGTCTAAAAGTCTTGTTGCATGTGCAGATAAGCTTGGAAAGATCTCCCGAGTTATAAGTGGCATTAACAATCACACAACGTAAGTCTCCAAATCCAATCTTCTTCTCCTATAATAGATGCTATATCTGGTGAATGCACATAATTGTTATATATCCGCGTCCATTTACATTTGTATGTGTGTGTGAAAGATGGAAACACATTTTAATTTATGGTGAACGATGTATTAATATTCAAGAGTAGTTTTCTTCTAGTTATGCACTTAAACCGTACACTAGATACACCGCTCACTTATTCAATTTTTAGTTATATGTACCGATTATGCTTACAATACTTCAATTTGATGTTTATTCTTAATTTTCTTATATATAAATTGTTGAACATTTTCATTATTTAACGAAAAAGAATACTATGTGTGATATTGTCTTATTAATGACATCATTTGATCTTTTGCAGGAAAGGGAGAAAAAAACAAAATATTAAATGCATGAGGTACAACGTAGATAAAGAATGTGTGGTGCTTCTCGTTGCGAATCATGATATAGCAAAGGGTGAGAGGCTATATTACGATTACAATGGTTGTGAGTATGAATACCCTACCAATTATTTTATATAATTTAGGTTTTTTCCTTCAAAATTTAAAGTTGTAAATTTATTACTCCTTTAAATCAAACACTCACAGCAGATAGAAAGAAAGAAACCAAGTTTTTTACTTCAATTGTATTGTGTATAGAAATTTACATTAGATTGTGCATGTTTTGCACAAACTTTTCACATATATGGAACTGGTATTGAGCATAAATTTGATTGTTTTGTTAGAATAAAAAATAAATATTACGAAGAATATTATGAAAATACAAACATATTAATACCAAGTAGAATACCCAGCTGGAATTCTGTAATATATAATTGAAGAGTGAGGCCAAATATTTGTGATTTAGGGGAATCTCCATTCTCTAATGTAACCACCATCATCATATTATTTCTTTTATTTTCTCTTTTATGTTTTTTTCTTCCTTATTTTATTCAGTGAAGTTTTTTATTTTCAAATTCTTTTTTTCTGTTCTGGCGTCGTTCTAGCCGTTCTGGCCGCATTGGGGTCGTTCCGTAGCTCCGTCTCGCCCATCCCACCGATTTCTCGGCGTTTCAATGTGACCCCGTGAAAACACCGTTGTGAAAACACTTTCATGCATTAAGAAGTTTTGAATTATTAGTTATGGTATAATAAGAACGTTTTGGTAGGGATGGTATGTTATATATATTTAACAAAAGATTTTGTAATAATACCTACTCATTTATAATTTTAGTCTTGATTTTCAGTAGCCTTATTGTTCTATTATTGTATGAAAAGTTTCTGCAAGATCATGAATACATTATATTCTATTATATTTCAAATAATATTACACATTTTTCACAATTAATTAGTATCAAACCTAAGATTAATTAATTCCTTTGTCCGCCTTTTGCATATCTATCGTTCCAGTAATTATGCATACAAGCAACTAATTGTGCACGAGTACATGTGTCTTTTATCTTAATAAGCTTGAATCTTGTTTTGACCATTGAAGGTGACAACCAAAAGGCTTTGATATGTCTTGATTATAGATTTAATCGTTGGTATCGTCTAATTTCTGATACCAAGAAACGACGTAGACACACAAACACAATAGAATTCCGCAACAAACAAAGAAAATTATATTGACAAATATTCCATCACAAGATCCAGCAAGAAGACTATCTCAGATGAGATCTCTTGCCATGGCTATGACTTCTTAGAATTTTGAATACAACAACGAACTCACTTTCTGCTCTGGCATGGCTCCTTGATCAACCAATCGATCTTCTTTCGAAAACGGGGGCATGTTGCAGGTTCTATTTTAATTATAAACCTTCTCTAATTAAATTATTTGTTTCCATTTTCGTTGCTCATTATAATTTTTGTCAGGTTCTTTGCAAAGAAGATGTAGAGAGGCATTGTATAGAAGAAGTGAATTCCCTCCTCTTGTTGTAGCATTGAATTCGTTGGAAGGGTACATAATTTTTTTTTTTTTGTCATTATATGATTCGTTCATGCAATTATATATAGTATATTATAGCCCTAATATCATATATACGTCAATACAAAAAAGTTCATGTTGAAACTTTAGATTGATTTGAATTGATTGTTGTCACGTGTAAATTTAATGGTCAAAAAGAGACGTGGATTACACGTGGCACAGGTTAGTTGCATGTAGGTATATTGTAGAAGTTTACGGGTCCAAAAAGGATATAACTTTGATCACTGAATACGCAAGCGATGTTGATTACATAAGAAATCTGGAGCAAGATGACTGTGACAGTATGATGACTCTTCTTTCTTCAGCCGACTCGTCTAAAAGTCTTGTTGCATGTGCAGATAGGCTTGGAAACATCTCCCGAGTTATAAGTGGCATTAACAATCACACAACATAAGTCTCTAAAACAAATCTTCTTCTCCTATAATAGATGCTATATCTGTTGAACGCACATAATTGTTATATATCCGCGTCCATTTACACTTGTATGTGTTTATGAATGATGGAAACACATTTTAATTTATGGTGAACGGTGTATTTATCTTCAAGAGTAGTTTTGTTCTAGTTATGCACTTAAACCGTACACTAGATACACCGCTCACTTATTCAATTTTTAGTTACGTATACCGATAAGGCTTACGATACTTAAATTTGATGTTTATTCTTGATTTTTATATTTAAATTGTTGATCATTTTCATTTATTTAACGAAAATGAATACAATGTGTGATATTTTCTTGTTAATGACGTCATTTTATCTTTTGCATGAAAGGGAGAAAAAAACAAAATATTAAATGCGTGAGGTACAACGTAGATAAGGAATGTGTGGTGCTTCTCGTTGCGAATCGTGATATAGCAAAGGGTGAGAGGCTATATTACGATTACAATGGTCGTGAGTATGAATATCCAACCCATTATTTTGTATAATTTAAGTTTTTCCTTCAAAATTAAAAGTTGTAAATTTATTTTTCCTTTAAATCAAACACACACATTAGATAGAAAGAAAGAAATCAAGTTTTTTACTTCAATTTATTGTGCATAGAAATCTACATTAGATTGCGCATGTTTTGCACAAAATATTCACATATATGGAACTGGTATTGAGCATAAATTTGATCATTTCGTTAGAATCAAAACAAAATTTACAAAGAATATTATCAAAATACAAGCAATATTAATACCAAGTAGAATACCCAGCTAGAATTGTGTAATATATAATTGAAGAGTTAGGCAAAATATTTGTGATTTAGGGGAATCTCCATTCTCTAATGTAGCCACCATCATCATATTATTATTTTTTTTTTCTTTTATGTTTTTTTTCCTTATTTTTTTCAGTCAAATTTTTTTTTTCGTTTTTCAAATTCATTTTTTCTATTCCGGCGTCGTTCCGGGCCGTTCTGGCCGGATTGGGGTCGTTCCATGGCTCTGTCCCGCCCATGCCTTCGATTTCTCGGTGTTTCAATGTGTCACGGTGAAAACACCGTTGTGAAAACACTTTAATGCATTAAGAAGTTTTTAATTATTAGTTATGGTATAATAAGAACTTTTTGCTAGGGATGGTATGTTATATATACTTAACAAAAGATATTGTACTAACACCAACTCATTTATAAGTTTAGTTCAGATTTTCAGTAGCCTTATTGTTCTATTATTGTATGAAAAGTTTCTGCAAGATCATTAATACATTATATTCTATTATATTTCAAACAATATAACACATTCTTCACAATTAATTAGTATCAAACCTGAGTTTAATTAATTCCTTTGTCCACCTTTTGCATATCTATCGTTCCACTAATTATGCAGACATGTGACTATTTGTACACGAGTACATGTGTCTTTTATCTTAATAAGCTTTAATCTTATTTTGACCATTGACGGTGACAACCGAAAGGCTTTGATATGTCTTGATTATATATTTAATCATTGGTATCGTGTAATTTCTAATACCAAGAAACGACGCAGACGCACAAGCACAATAGAATTCCGCAACGAACAAAGAAGATTATTGACAAATATTCCATCACAAGAACCTGCAAGAAGACTATCTCAGATAAGATATCTTGCCATGGCTTTGACTTCTTTGAATTTTGAATACATCAACAAACTCACTTACAGCCCTAGCATGGCTCCTTGTTCAGCCTATCCATCCTCTTTCGAAAACGCGGGCATGTTGCAGGTTCTATTTTAATTATAAACCTTCTCTAATTAATTTATTTGTTTCCATTTTCGTTGCTCATTATAATTTTTGTCAGGTTCTTTGCAAAGAAGATGTAGAGAGGCTTTGTATAGAATAGGCGAATTGCCTCATCTTGTTGTAGCATTTAATTCGTTGGAAGGGTACTTAATTTTTTATTTTGTTTTATTATTATATGATTACATAATAAATCTGGAGCAAGATGACTGTGACAGTATGATGACTCTTCTTTCTTCAGCCGACCCGTCTAAAAGTCTTGTTGCATGTGCAGATAGGCTTGGAAACATCTCCCGAGTTATAAGTGGCATTAACAATCACACAACGTAAGTCGCTAAAACCAATCTTCTTCTCATATAATAAATGCTATATCTGTTGAATGGACATAATTGTTATATATCCGCGCCCATTTACACTTGTATGTGTGTATGAATGATGGAAACACATTTTAATTTATGGTGAACGGTGTATTAATCTTTAAGAGTAGTTTTGTTCTAGTTATGCACTTAAACCGTACACTGGATACACCGCTCACTTATTCAATTTTTAGTTATATATACCGATAAGGCTTACGATACTTAAATTTGATGTTTATTCTTGATTTGTTTATATAAATTGTTGATCATTTTCACTTATTTAACGAAAGTGAATACAATGTGTGATATTGTCTTGTTAATGACTTCATTTGATCTTTTGCATGAAAGGGAGAAAAAAATATGTTAAATGCGTGAGGTACAATGTAGATAAAGAATGTGTGGTGCTTCTCGTTGCAAATCGTGATATAGCAAAGGGTGAGAGGCTGTATTACGATTACAATGGTTGTGAGCATGAATATTCAACCCATTCTTTTGTATAATTTAAGTTTTTCCTTCAAAATTTAAATTTTTAAATTTATTTTTCATTTAAATCAAACACTCACAGCAGATAGAAAGAAAGAAACCAAGTTTTTTATTTCAATTGTATTGTGCATAGAAATTTACATTAGATTCAACATGTTTTGCACAAACTTTTGTCTTATATTGAACTGTTATTGAGCATAAATTTGATCATTTTGTTAGAATAAAAAAAAAATATTACAGAGGATATTATGAAAATACAAGCAATATTAATACCACATAGCATACCCAGATGGAATTGTGTAATATATAACTGAAGAGTGAGGCCAAATATTTGTGATTTAGGGGAATCTCCATTCTCTAATGTGGCCACCATCATCATATTATTTCTTTTTTTTTTATTTTTTTTTTATTTTCCTTTTTTTTCAGTCAAATGTTTTTTCATTTTTCAAATTCTTTTTTTTTTGTTTCGGCATCGTTCCGGCCGTTTTGGTCGCATTGGGGTCGTTCCGTGCCTCCGTCTCACCCATCCCAACGAGTTCTCGCTGTTTCAATGAGTCACGATGAAAACACCGTTCTGAAAAAACATTGTTATGCATTAAGAAGTTTTGAATTATTAGTTATGCTATAATAATAACTTTTGGTAGGGATGGTATGTTATATATACTTAACAAAAGATTTTGTAATAATACCTACTCATTTAATTTATAAGTTTAGTCCTGATTTTCATTAGTCTTATTGTTCTATTATTGTATGAAAAGTTTCTGCAAGATCATGAATACATTATATTCTATTATATTTCAAATAATATAAGACATTTTTCACAATTAATTAGTATCAAACCTGAGATTAATTAATTACTTTGGCCGCATTTTGTATAGTTATCGTTCCACTAATTATGCAGACATGTAACAATATATGCATGAATGCATGGGTCTTTTATCTTAATGAGCTTTAATATTATTTTGACCATTGAAACTTTAGATTGATTTGAATTGATTGTTTTCACGTGTAAATTTAATGGTAAAAAAGAGACGTCGATTACACGTGGCAGAGGTTAGTTGCATGTAGGTAGACTGTAGAAGCTGACGGGTCCAAAAAGGATATAACTTTGATCGCTGAATATTATTTTGACCATTGAAGGTTACAACCAAAAGGCTTTGATATGTTTTGATTATATATTTAATCATTGCTATCGTCTAATTTCAGATACCAAGAAACGACATAGACGTACAAGCACAATAGAATTCCGCAACAAACGAAGAAGATTACTGACACATATTCCCTCACAAGATCTTACAAGAAGACTATCTCAGATGAGATATCTTGCCATGGCTATGACTTCATAGAATTTTGAATACAACAACGAACTCACTTACAACCCTTGCATGGCTCCTAGATCAGCCAATCGATCTTCTTTCGAAAACGAGGGCATGTTGCAGGTTCTATTTTAATTATAAACCTTCTCTAATTAATTTATTTGTTTCCACTTTGGTTGTTCATTACAATTTTTGTCAGGTTCTTTGCAAAGAATATGTAGAGAGGGTTGTAGCATTTAATTTGTTAGAAGGGTACTTCATTTTTTATTTTGTTTTGTTATTATATGATCAGTTCATGCAATTATATATCTATTATATTATAGCCCTAAATATCATATATATACATCAATACAAAAAAGTTCATGTTGAAACTTTAAATTGATTTGAATTGATTGTTGTCACGTGTAAATTTAATGGTAAAAACGACGACGTTGATTACACGTGGCAGAGGTTAGTTGCATGTAGGTACACTGTAGAAGCTGATGGGCCCATAAAGGATATGACTTTCATTGTTGAATACGCGAGCGATGTTGATTACATAAGAAATCGGGAGGAAGATGACTGTGACAGTATGATCACTCTCCTTTCTTCAGCCGACCCGTCTAAAAGTCTTGTTGCATGTGCAGATAAGCTTGGAAAACATCTCCCGAGTTATAAGTGGCATTAACAATCACACAATGTAAGTCTCTAAAACCAATCTTCTTCTCCTATAATAGATGCTATATTTGGTGAATGCACAAAATTGTTATATATCCGTGTCCATTTACACTTGTATGTGTGTATGAATGATGGAAACACATTTTAATTTATGGTGAACGGTGTATTAATCTTCAAGAGTAGTTTTGTTCTAGTTATGCACTTAAACCGTATACTAGATACACCGCTCACTTATTCAAGTTTTAGTTATATATACCGATTAGACATACGATACTTAAATTTGATGTTTATTTTTGATTTTATATATATATATAAATTGGTGATCATTTTTATTTATTTAACGAAAATAAATACAATGTGTGATATTGTCTTGTTAATGACATCATTTGATCTTTTGCAGTAAAGGTAGAAAAAAACTATTAAATGCGTGAGGTACAACGTTGATAAAGAATGTGTGGTACTTCTCGTTGCGAATTGTAGCGAAGGGTGAGAAGATATATTACGATTACAATGATTGTGAGTATGAATATCCAACCTATTATTTTGTATTACCTAAGTTTTTGTTCTAAATTTAAAGTTGTAAATAATTTTCCTTTAAATCAAACACTCACAAGCAGATAGAAAGAGAGAAACCAAGTTTTTTACTTCAATTGTATTGTGCATAGAAATTTACATTAGATTGCGCATGTTTTGCACAAACCTTTCACATATATGGAACTTGTATTGTGCATAAATTTGATCATTTTGTTAGAATCAACGGTCCTATTGGATATTAAATAAGTTCAACAAAAGAAACTCATGTTGTGTGGAAGTAAACTTCAAAAAAATTTAACGATCCTATTTGCTTTTATTTATCACTAAACAAATAAAAAATAATCAGTAGCCAATTATTTATTAATTGCTCATGAATTACTAAACAATCTACTACTACGACAACAACTACTGTCACAACAACTGCGACGAGTACTACTACTACTATTTCTACTACTATTACTACATTTATTAATCACTAAAAACATAATAAATAATTAGTAACCAATTATTTTTTAATTACTTATGTATTAGTAAAAAAATATGAACAATTATTAATTAATAATTTATTTTTTACTTTGCACCCTGAAAACAATTCACCAATAAAAGATGAAGTTGTCGTCATTAAGTTTTAAAAATTCAATTCAAGGGTGCAAAGTGCTATTAACTATTTTCGAGGATGCAAAGTGCCCAAATCCTACATTTCAATTTTTAAGAGTACAGAGTGGAATTACATCCTTACAAATTATAATGTTTTGCTTGTTTTGTATACTTTGTGCAATGCTCATTGGCCAAAATATCTCAAACTGTGAAAATGGATGTTCAATATATGTATTAGTTTTTATTGCACAATATATATTATTTTGACGATGTATTGGTCTATATTGTACATACAAGTTGATAATGTTTATTTGTTTTGGATCTTATCCCATTATGGATGGTTATTAAATTGTAAATCAAATTGAAAATTGATTTGTCAAAAATTCGAATCTTAAATTGAATAGAATTGTAAATCGTAAGATTTGTAATTCTTTCAAAATAATATAGATAATTATTATGTATAAATATTTTAAAGAAATTATATAGTGTTATACCAAAATCTATATGTCTTTTAAAATTTATAAAGTCAAACTCTAAAAGTTGTATCTTGAAGAACATAAAAAATTGATTAAATTAAGTATAAATAAATAATTATGTAATAGAAGCTCGGTTATGCTATCATAATCGGTGACGTGTGAGAAATTCAAATTAAAATACAAATGTCTCTTGAGAGCTAATTAAAATAAAATAATATTTATTTAACAAAAATAGAATTGAATTCTTTCCAATTTATTTTCCTACTTTATAGTGCAACAATAGATGAGGAATAAAAGCAAAAGTAATACTATATTGTGGTTTTCTTTTTGTATATACATGATTTAATAGTATTTCACGGGGATAAAGTGTTGACAATAACGTAATAATCACATTAACTATTTCTAATGTCTTTTCAAAATTTTCCGAAATCGTAAACATCATAAATCGTAAGATTTGATCAATTTTTTGACATTTAAAATTTGTTTTAAGATTTGAATCGATTTGGGTATGAATCGAATCGAATCGTAAGATTTTAATAACCATGCCATTATGATTGATAGGAAACTCGTGTTTTAAGCATTGTAGTCAATATCGCGACACGGTACGATTATAAATGATATAAACCCGCATATGTATCGGGTTTCTTTAAATATTGGTAAATATTTACCATATCTATTTTGGTGGTAATTTGTGCATTTTCAGCTCCCCCGGTGATTTGTGTGATTTTCAGCACATATTGGGGTGATTTTGTGCAATTTTCAGCATATTTGGGGTGGTTTTGTGGGATTTTAGCACATTTGACATTATTTGTGTGATTTCCAGCACATTATAGGTGATTTGGGCAACCATCACTAAAATAAATTTATAACAACTACGTTTGGTTTTCTTTTTTCTTCTTTAATCAAG